AGCTCTCTCTCTCTCTCTCTCTCTCTCTCTCTCTCTCTCTCTCTCTCTCTCTCTCTCTCTCTCTCTCTCTCACACACACACACACGCACACACAAACACACGCACACACAAGAGCACGCACCCATTCTTTCCCTTTCCACTGAACTTAGGATTTTGCACTCTCCATATGATGCAAATGTGCAGTAGTGCCACATCGTAGGGGATTGGCTTCTCTCTCGGAACCTATGGGTGGTTTCTCTTCTCCATCACCGACTTGAAGAAAGGCGACACGATATAACACAATCAAGAACACAACGGACTGGAAAGGTAGTGAGAGGTGGGAAAAGATTGACAAAAAGGGCTTTGAGAAGGGAGGGAACTCCCTTGTTCATTGAAAGGAATGTGTTGGAGAAGATCATCGCGACGATAGTTGTCTTCATAAGAGAACGAGGGTAACACAGACATGATCATTGGCAGGTGACAGGAAGCAGGGATTCAATTTAGGGACAATCGCGCCCATGCATCATTCATTAACCGTCGATCTCTCTCAGGCTAACTGCATTCAGCGACCCCGCATCGTCGCCATGCAGCATGGGTGGAGTGCGCAACCTCGTCTTCACCCGCCGTACTCCCCATATCCACTCTCAGACTGCTCATAGCCGTCAGTAACATGCACCATGCCTTACACCGTTAACGTCACCCCGAGTAGATGCAAAAAAAATGGACACCCATCGGCCCCACCATCCTTAAATTCCTCCCCCATTCGTGATCTCGACGTCCTCCACACATCCATTCTTATCCTTATCGCAGACACATCGTGAAACTACGGGTGGTAAAGCCTTCTCAAAATCCTCCTCCTCTCCACGGCCTTCATCATCGTTTAGCGGTCTCCATTGCCACCATCACCATATCCACTGATTGCAATTGTCGTTACGTCTATGGCAGTTCAGAGACGCCATTACCCTTCTCGACGTCCTCCTCCCCACGGCGTTCCATTACCTTATCGCGGTCAAACTTAATCTCCATTTACCACTCCCCACGGCGTTCCGTTAGCTTCTCGCGGTCAAACTTAATCTCCATTTACCATATCCACTGATAGCACTTGTAGTTACTTCTATGGCAGTTCATAGCCGTCATCCCATAGCCCCTTAGCCCCCTCGCCATCAAGATATTATTAAACAAGAAGAGAGGAAAATAAAGGAAATGACAGATGGGGGCCAGACGAGGACAGATCGAAAAGCGGAAAAGGACAAGGGGGGTGCAATGAGAAAAGGGATGCAATCGGCAGAGAGAACGCACAGCGCACCGAGAGACAAACGCCGCCTCATTTATTTATTATTTATTACCCAAGGACATATTCGAGAGAGAAAGGTCCTTAAGCGCATGACCTGACGAAAGGACGGTAGAAGAGACAACGACCGAGTAGAGAAAACGACGCTGAAAAACGTTAAGTGTACGAGAAAGGTCGATCTGATAAGCAGAGAACAGACATATGGCAGCGAAACCGATTGCAAACCCGAATCTGGACTGTAGTGCAGGCGATCGACTACATTCACAGCTTTCAGTCACTTCACCGTAATAGGCTTAGTTAGGGCCTTTATTTATTAGCAAAACAAGGACATATTCGAGAGAGAAAGGTCCTTAAGCGCATGACCTGACGGAAGGACGGTAGAAGAGACAACGACCGAGTAGAGAAAACGACGCTGAAAAACGGTAAGTGTACGATCTGATAACCAGAAAACAGACATATGGCAGCGAAACCGATTGCAAGCTCGCATCTCGATCGACTACATTCACAGCTTTCAGTGACTTCACCATAATAGGCTTTTAGTTAGGGCCTCTCTTCATCTTTTTTACTTTTCTTTTTTTTTTTTCTTTTTTTTTTTGCATCTCTCTCTAAGACTGACAAAAATTGGCAAGTACTCTGCACATCTTCCGAAAAGCTGAAACCCTGCCCTGATTTTACCCAACTACTGATCGCCTGCACTTATCCAAACCATAACTCAGCCTGCACACCTTTCGAAAAGCTGAGGCCCTAACTAAGCCTATGATGAAGCCAGCAGCCGTACTCACGAGTGTCACCCGAGCCAGTATAAGGGCAGCGAAACTGAAAAAGGGATTTACGCAAGGGGTAGAAGATAGCACAAACTTGGGGGGTGGGGGAAGATGAAAAGGGAGGCACAGTTACTGGCAAATGCTCGGTCCTTGTGTTAACCAGGCCCCCACCGTCGGCCCCAACCCTGCACCCTAAACGGTAGGCCAAAAGCGGCAAACATGCCGTTACCCCTCTCCACCACCGGGAGAGGTAACCTCCCTTCACCGAAGAGAGGTAGAAAGCTATGCTTGCAGGGGTCCCCTGTATAGCCTTAGGAGTAGTGGTAGGTAATGAAAAGAAAGAACGATATGTGAGGTGAGAGAAAAAATATATGGCTGTCCCGCGATGAGGAGATGACAAAAAAAAAAAAAAAAAAAAAACAGATAGCACAAACTTGCCAGGTGAGTCGGGGTCGGGACTGCAGACCCGGCCGCTCTCGAATTCGCGGTAGCCACCATACAGAGGTCGGCTAAGCTCTTCGTGTGTGATCCTGAAGGGTAGGTGGAGTGGGGTTCCATCACCTCCAGCAACCTGATTTGGAGAGTGATGGAGAGAGGAGGCCGTTAGGGCTTTCTCACACATGCACGTCCCTGGATGGATTCTTTTTCTTCCCTTGTTTTTAGTGAAGAGACGGAGAGGGACGATCTGGCAGACATATATTGTCACAAAGTTATCAGAGCGCAAAAGCGAAAAAAAACAAAAGGAAACAAAAAAGATATATCGCCACAAAGTTATCAGAACGCAAAAGCGAAAAAAAAACAAACGGAATAAAACAGATATCAATTCGTTTCTTCTCTCCTTACAACTCCCCCTTTTCAGAACCTCTTACTACATATATCATCACATAAATATCAGAGCGCAAATGCGAAAGAAAGAAAAAAAGAAAGAAAAAGGAGAAAAAATGAATTATTGCCAAACAGAGCTGCCCGGTAAACCGTAGGCAGAGAGGGAGAAGAGGACAACAATATCTACATAAAGAAGATTAAAAATAACGAATCATTTTTTTTCTTGTTCCCTTCTGTTTTTTTCGCCTTTGCTCTCCGATATTCATTTGACGATATATACAATCAAACAGAGCTGCCCGGTAAATCGTGTAGGGACAGAGACGGAGAAGAAAACAACAAACGAGTATATATTGTCATATATTGTCATATATTGTCACATTGTGAACGTCAGAGAAAAGGAGACCTGACCACCCGCCGATCCATCAACATTTCTGACAAAATACACGGTGTTGAATTTGATATAACAAGCATTGGCCCCTAAGCAAAAAAAAAAAAAAAAAAAAAAAGCAAACCCCTTCCTCCTAAAAAGCTATGAAACATACCCGAGCAATATACGACAGATCGTCTTAGGGCACACACACTCGAAATTTCCGATCTGGCCATGATTGTGGACAGGTACAGACATGCCCTTCGATGCGACGACTCCTGGACGATCGAGAGGGGAAGCGAACGGAACGCGGAGATACATGAACGTGCACAGCACCCCAAGAGAACAACTTCCCAACTCTTCCTTTTCCTTTCCTTCATGTTTCTTTCTGTCCGAAGACGAAGATAGTAGATATTGCGCTTAACCAAAAAGAAGAAGAAGAAGAAGAAAGTAGATATTGCGCTTAACCAAAAAAAGGAAGAAGAAAAAGAAGAGAGTAGATATTGCGGTTAACAGAATAGCGGCGGGAAAGACATCGAAGGTGTGCTCCTGCGCAAGAACGTGGAAGTTAAAAGAGGCAGGTAGCGAGAGTAATAGGGACGGAGACGATGGGAAAACGAAACACAGGAATTGGGGAGAGTAACAAGCCAATACGTAGAGAAGGGAACAACTTCCCAACTCTTCCTTTTCCTTTCCTTCATGTTTCTTTCTGTCCGAAGACGAAGATAGTAGATATTGCGCTTAACCAAAAAGAAGAAGAAGAAGAAGAAAGTAGATATTGCGCTTAACCAAAAAAAGGAAGAAGAAAAAGAAGAGAGTAGATATTGCGGTTAACAGAATAGCGGCGGGAAAGACATCGAAGGTGTGCTCCTGCGCAAGAACGTGGAAGTTAAAAGAGGCAGGTAGCGAGAGTAATAGGGACGGAGACGATGGGAAAACGAAACACAGGAATTGGGGAGAGTAACAAGCCAATACGTAGAGAAGGGATTAAAAAAAAGGGAGAAGTAACAGAGAGGGTAGAAGAGAAAACAAAAAGAGTAGACAGAATATAGAGCAGATCAGAAGATCCGTATTTGGTGTGTGAGAGACATTACCCAGAACGTACATAAGACGTCAACGGGAGCAAACCCTAGCGTAACGGGTACGTCCTCGACAATACCAGCTCATCACACTTCTCCACAAGCTGCAAAGTCAATCGAATGGTTGTATTATAATAGTAGCATAATCTATTAAATCAGGACGGAGCACAACACATGACCTAGACTGCATCCACGACAACAAAGAGAAGACGACGTAAGTGAGGAAAGCAAAGGAATCGAGTTAAGGATGGAGAAGCAGAAACATAGAAAGAGGATGGAAGGCTGAAACACCGGAGATGCCGCTCCAATTCCGCAAAGGGGAGTGGAAAAGACAAGTTCAGGTCAGGGGGCCAGGAAACCGGGAATGCAGAGAGAGTGAGACCGACAGAGAGCGCGAGAGCGAGAGAGCGAGAGCGGGCGAGCGAGAGAGAACGAGAGACAGCAGGAGAGAACGAGACAGAGCAGAGAGAGAACGAGAGAGAACGAGAGAGAACGAGAGAGAACAGGACAGAACGAGCGAGGACGGGAGAGAACGATAGAGGAGAAAGGACGAGAGAAAACAACAGAGCAATAGAGAGAAATAGAGAAAATTATTCGTCCATCCTAAACACAGATTTTCCAGACATAGAGCTGAGTTTATTAAAATCGATGCATGTTGTAAATTTCCGGATGGGTGGGTGGGCCGAGGGGGCAGAGGACAGAGGCAAATCAAGCTGAGGAACTGACATCGTTAGGCACGAAGGAATCACCATCCGCGCCATCCCCACCCTTCAATTAGACGCATGAGCACTCTGGCTGTATAGTACACGGTTGTGGCTAACAACACCATTCGGCGGCACTCCGGTCTGATCCGCGAGACCCTATCCAAAACAACCTAAGTGCCGCGATCTCCCTTCGAATAGAACGCAGAATAATCATTAAACCGTCTTCCGAGCAATCGTCACGCAAGATGGAGAGAGAGTATAACTTCACGTTATATTCGGGAGAAGAAGGTAGACGACGAAAGAGATAGAGAGGAAGAGAGAGAGAGAGAGAGAGACCCTTAAGGTAACTTTCACAGGGGGTCTGCACTTCGTCCGCTACTGCCCACGAGGCGCCAAACGGCCTTTGCTTGAACCTCGAAGTCCAAATGACGAACATATGCCGAAGTGCAGACCCCCTGTGAGAGGGCCGTGCGTCTGAAAGACGGACGCAGGACGAAGAACGGTGGAATGTGCTGCCGTTCTTTCTCTAGAGGAAAACCGTATTCAATCTTTATTAACAAACAAGGAAACCGTGATGGTGCCGGTTAGTTCACAAGTCAGCATCACCGCCTCAAGACCGCGACGAAGATCAAGGCCTGAACATCAACCCCTTAAACCACCAGTACCGTGATGGTGCAAGTTAAGTCACAAGTCACAAAGCCTCAACACCTCAACGAAGAACGGCGGAATAGGACGAAGAACGGCAGAATAAGTGGCGAAATAGACCACGACAAGGATGAGAAGGAGAAATTATTGTCTTTCCCGCCAGGAATGACACAAGAGGGCCGTGCGTCTGAAAGACACAGGACAGTGAAACAGCGTTATGTAAAGAAGGGGGAAAGAAGAAATGGGGGCCAATGTAGGAGATGGAGAGAGCAGCGGGCAGAAGAGAAACGAGGGAAGGAAGGATAGATTGTTGATCAAAGGCAGGAGACGAGAGAGAGAGAGAGAGAGGAAGAAAGGACGGAAGAAGGACGAAGGAATCGTCGCGAGAGAGACAGGTAGATGGATAGACGGATAGAGGGATAAATAGAGTAACTACAGCTACATAAATAAATAAATCATTTATAAATCAATAGATGGATAGATATATGAATGGATAGAAGGGAAGATAGTTACATAGATAGGCTAGTAAGTAGATATGGAGCGGATATTAGATAAATGGATGAGTAGATAGGGAGTAAGAAAGAGGAAAGAGTGAAAGGTAGATAGATACATGGAGAGAGAGGTACACAGCTAGATGAATATACACATAGATATACAGATAAATAGATAGACAGACAGATAGATAGATAGACGAATTGATAAATTGAGAGAGAGAGAAAATATAGCTTGGTAGATAAGTCAGATTACGATCGACAGGTGGCTAAATAGGTAGGTACATAGATGAATAGAAAGATAAATAGCTAAATAAATAGGTTGGTGAATAGATAGGGAGTGGTTCTGATCGATAAATATATATATGGGTAGATAGGGAGTGCGAGTGATTCGTTGAGAGATAGATAAGAGAAGAGTGACAGACAGATAAATAGGGAGAGCGTAAAGAGGGGAGAAAAACAAGGAGGGGAACGGGAGAAAAAACAAACGCGGAAGAGGGAAAGAAAGAGGGAACAGGACAACCCATCTACTCGAGACTCGGCGACCACGTCCTTCGGCTTTCCCCGCACGAACGGAGGCGGCGTATCGGAAACACGTTGAAAACTTCAAGAGTATAAAAAAAAGGACCCATTACCGAATGTCCGGCTGCACCATCGAAATGCCGGCACAGGAAGAAGTAAGGCGGGCATGATGGGGAGAGAAAGGCGAGAGCAGACGCGGGAGGGATCGATAGTAAAAGAACAAATTGGAGGATAAACTACAAAGAGAAAACAAAAATCAGCCAGAGAGAACGATGAAACGAAGGCAGAAAGAGAGTGGCAGGAGGGAGAGAACGAAAGAGGAGAGACGGAAGGAGAGAGACGAGAAAAGGGGAGAGAGGAGGAGCGAGGGGTGGAAAGCGGAAAAATAGGCAAGAGAGGGAAAACGAGAGGGAAGAAGAAGAGGCTACCGTCTTCACCCGAATAGAACCCCCCCCCCGGTCATTATAGCCGTATTTGGTGCAATTTTCAGTCTAGATACGGTGATAATGACCGGGCGTTCTATTCGGGTGAAGACGGTAGGGATGAAGTAAGAGGAAGGAAGAAAGAAAAACAGAGACAGGAGAGGCGAAAGCGAGAAGAGAGAGGGAAAGACTATAGAGGAGGAGAGAGGAGGAAACAGGAGAAGAGGCACGGGAAACGGGCAACAGAGAAGGAAAGGGAGAGGGGATAAGAAGAGGGCCCGGAGAAAGTGAGAGGGAGGAAGAAAGAAGATGAGGCAGAGGAGAGAGACAAAAGAATGGCGCAGGAAGATTTATGGCAACAGAGTGAAAAGGTTAATTAATTAATTAATTAATTAATTAGGGTTTCTGAACTCACCTGTTCACACTGTCTCAAAGCAGTGAGCTCCTCCTCTGTCCTTGACTTCAATTTCGCCCTGTATTGGCAGAAGTTCTGGAACTGATAGATGAATTCGTCAATCATGTCCCATAACCAGAGATTGGGCAGCTGCATGTTCACATTACCATGCAGGATCACCTGGAAGAGATTACAGTAATTCTCCCACGACTCACACCTCTGTGCCAACGTGGGCTGCACTGTCGCGTACACGTGGCGGAAATACATTTCCTTGTAGAGCAAGCAAAACACGTGATCGTTGTCCACAAACGGGGCGATGGCTTCGACTGGTGGCCACAATGTCGTGGTGAACATGCGCTCACTGAGCTTGTTCCAGCTTCCATCGTACATCTGATGGATTTCATACACGTTTTTCTCTCGAATGTGCCGATAAAAATAGGCGACGAAAGTTTTCACCACATCCGGCACAACGTACTGGCCATTCTCGTCGACATCGTGAGTCCTGGGGAGGTTCTCCCTCTCCTCGCGCTCGTCGTACCCATCCCGACGATCCCGAACGTCTTCGCGGGCATCGCGGTGGTCGCGCGCATCACGGTACTCGCGCCCATCGCGACTCTCGCGCGCGTCACGATACTCGCGCGAATCGCGCTCACGAGGCTCGCGCGGCTCGCGCCAGTCGCGCGAATCATGGCCCTCGCGACCGTCACGAGAATCTCCCCCCCGTGCGTAAGCTTCGTACGCCATCGCTTCTGCTTCGAGACTCTTGTCCAAGAGAGACTGCCTTCCCTCCTCCCTCCGAGAACTTCACGCTGACAGAAGGAAGAAGGATGAGGTGCCTTTGGCGCTATGGCGAAAGAAGAGACGAGCGGGGAGGATGGAGAGAGACAAAGAGACAGCACCCACCGCTCTCGGTCAACTCGACCCTCAGAACGGCCCCAGCCGCCGCCGGCTCGAAAGACAGGCAAACTGCCTACCTCTCCTCTCCCTACCGAAACTCTGGTAGTCGCCGGTTCGGTGACGACCAACGGACCCCGGTTTCGGTGCTCGGCCTCTCTTCTCTCTGAGGCCCTCCTAAACTGTACTCGCTCCTTCGGCCATTGTTTGCCGGGCTTGAACCCGCACCCACTGGAAGCATCCAAACTCGTACTGTCCACGCTTACGCCGAATAGAACGCCTCCACGTTGAACTACAGCACCAGTACCTACCGCTTGTCAAGGCCCTTGGCTCAGCCTACCGGCAGCAGGACCCTTACCGAGCCTCGGGCTACCGGTAGGCCAAGTGAGAAAAAGAAAAAGAAGAGAAAAAACAAAATTCATTATGGAAAGTAAAACAAAATGAAAATATAGCGCACCTGGATGGAAGAGAGAGAGAGACCGTTTTCGGAAAAAAAAAAAAAAAAAAAAAAAGAGAGAGAGAGAGAGAATGTTACCTCGAAACGAGGTAAGATTCAATGGATTTGACACTTCGTAACAGCAGGCGCAAGAGAGAGAGAGAGAGAGAGAGAGAGAGAGAGCACCATGGCGAGTTTGCGTGCATTTTCTCTCTCTCTCTCTCTCTCTCTCTCTCTCTCTCTCTCTCTCTCTCTCTCTTTTTTTTTTTTTTTTTTTAAGCACGCGCGTTGTCGACCCGCACGGAGTTTCTTGGAGAGTGAGAATGAATCTTTCACAAACAATGCGAACGATTCATTCTCACTTTCGAAGAAAGTCCGCGCAGGTAGACAGCGTGCCCACGCGTGAGAGAGAGAGAGAGAGCACCACGCCGAGTTCGCCACGGGCCCGCGTGCATTTTGGCTCTCTCTCTCTCTCTCTCTCTCTCTCTCTCTCTCTCTCTCTCTCTCTCTCTCTC